ATACATTTTGGAGTATGATACAATGTAGTTAATATCTTCTACATCGAAGAATAGCGATAGTGCTATTCCTCCAATCTGTCTTTGTGATCACAAATAATAAAATAAAGAAGAAATAAAATACAACAACAAGAAAAAATATTAATACCGTCTTCACAACATCATTCTTTTCCGTTATACATATGCCAAGTGCCTTGCCGTTTTTCAATTTTCTCAGACAGTCGAGAACTTCTTTTGTCGTTGGTTTGTTGCAGTTGATGGTTGAATCTTCAGCGGCCGATTGAGCAGCCGTGGCCAGATCTTCGGAAACGGGTGCATCGGGGCGATTGAAGAGTTTGGTGTAGTAGGAGCGCCAGCGTTGAAGCTTTCGTGGTTTATCGCTGATTTGATTGCCAGTTGAGCCGGAAATTGGGCTACTGATGGGAAGGGTTACCTTAGCGAGGCGTCGGAAGTTCGCGAATGCGTCTCTCGCTTCGCCTGCTGCGAGTGCAGCTTTTCCATCTTTCGCTGTGTTGTCGGCCCATTGTTGTCGATCTGGTTTCAGGTTTGACTTACACTGTTTGTTCAGTATCTTGTATTCATCTGGATTGTGGAGGAGTCTTGCTTCTCTTTTTTTCGAGCAGCGTGAGCGTGGTATCACTAATCGATGGTTTCTTCTTGTGTCGGTGAAATCTCAAATGTTGAGCTGCAACGTCATTTAATGTTTCCTTGAATTTGTCCCAATTTGATGATTCGTCGATCGTAAGTGCAGCGAAGCGATTACTCACTTCCACTGCATATTGACTTTGTACAGCGGGATCTTCCAACCTCTTGATGTCGTAATGCTGAGTATGTGCCGAGCCGATGCCTGTGCGCTTCAGGCGTAATGACATCGTGGTAATGACGAGGCGGTGGTCAGCGTCGAACTCAGGACTACGGTAGACGCGACAGTTTTGTAGGGCGGACCATTTGGTGTTGACGAGGACGTGGTCGATCTCTTTGACAATAATGCCATCGTTAGAGAACCACGTGTATCGGTGGATGTTCTTACGTTTGAACCATGAGCCGCCCATTCTTAAGCCGGCACCCAGGTAGAAGTTCAGCAACCTTTCTGTATTGTCGTTTGATGTACCACTACCGCATGGACCTATAATGTGTTCCATGTCGGCTCTTGATGTTCATGTGACGGCATTGAAGTCGCCCAGACAGACGATCAGGTCGCTTTGGTGAGTCTTCTTGATTGCTTGTTCTATTTGAAGGTAGAAGGTATCTTTGTCGAGTGCTATGGCTACTCCGGCGGAACGTGGTGCGCCAATACCTGGACCAGACCATAAAATTGTGTAGGAACCACATTTCATTTCGTGGGAGCCGGGCCAGCGCACTTCTTGGAGGGCCATTGTATTGATCTTGACTTTTTCGAGCTCGGTGACTAGGATTGTAGCAGCACCTATCTCTAGCAGTGTTCTTACATTCCATGTTCCAACGCGGAATAATCGGTTCGATGGAAAACGTCTTGCTTGAAGGGTGTAAAGATTGCGCCCTCTCACCACGACAAGGTACAGGACGGATTCAGAGAGAGAAACATCAATTATAGATATGAATAAATAAATCTGTCTTTCTCCAACACTAATTTTATGCTAAGACACATTTTTGAAATCTCCATTTATATTCGAATTCGACAGCTCGTAAGTATGTGGAAGAAAAAGTAAATTGCCTTATATTTATATACTTTTACAGCTTTGTGATTGTTTGATGGAATTTAACAAAATGAAGAAGTTTTGCATTGTTTAATGTTTGATTTCTACCAAAGTGGCACTATATAAGACCTCCCCCCTCTAATTACAAGACCCCGGTCTTTTAACTTGGGGGAGGGGGTTATGTACATTATTAGACGACAAAACATTTCACTCTTCTAGCGTATGAAATGGAAAAGAGCAATTATAGTTAAGAAACTATCATCGAACTCTTAATACGAGAATCAATTAGTTTCATACTTCAACTGTCTGGTGTTTGATCTCCGTTATATTTAGATATTACAAAGAAATCTTTCAAATTTCAATTATTACCGAATCAGAAATTAGATGATCTTTTTTGGCTGAATGACATAATCAGAGAACGAATATAGTAATCTTTAAAATATAATGTAGTGAATTTGCAAATATATATGCATGCGATGCAGGCCATTTATAATTACACTTAACATAATCGTTGATTTTTTCTTCATAGTTGCCTTTCGACCCAGTTGATATTTACTTCATAAGGCTCAACTAACAGCACTAGGTTATTTTTTCCATCAACTATTCTACCTGCTTAATAATAACATTTACATCTCTGACGACATTACTTCATTCACTTTCTTCATGAAGTCACAGAAGTATCCAAAGAACATCACCTGTAGTTGGATCCGGCGGAACGAACGTTTTTTTCTCCCAATCCCGCTCTTTTGGAATTTTGTCAGAAATATTATTATTTTTAAGCTAACATGTGTCAAATGAGACATTAATCAATTACACTACATGCTTCTGTGATTTTTGCGCTGGAATATGACGTTAAAGTGCACATGCTAATATAATCGTTCATTGGATGAGATCCCGCTGGATTGTCTCAATTTCAATTTTGCTCCCGATCCTGGCGTGACTGGGGCCGGATTCGGGAGAAAAAAGGATTGTGAGAGTTCCACCCGACTCTAGCCGGTAGATAGAGGCCCAGCGGGACCGCTCCGATCCCTATTTTTTCTCGAGTTCGGCCCCGACCCCATCGAGATTGGGATCGAGTTCTGGAACAAGCCTTCGACGGGACCGGGGCTGACAACCCGAACGTTTTTCAGTGGGACCAGAATAGGGGCGGGATGAAAACGTTGTCGCGGAAGTCACTCTTTCCTTTCGAAATGCAATCTCTATTTGTTTCAAAATTGAGTGCAATATATTATGTAAATGAAACGAGAAGGCGCATGTGTGCATACAAAAACATTTATAATAAATGAGCCAAAAATGCGACTAAAGACAGAATATCGAATATTAGTATACATATTTTCACCCTTTTCTTCGACTAACAAATTATACTATGATGAAATGATATGTTACTGAGTTACGTCTCATTTGAATTGTGTTTTTTATAAGTCACTTTTACTGATCTAAAAACATCGGAGTTAAACGGGACCGAGTTTCATTCGAGCTGAGTATCCTCGAGACCGGAACGGAAAACCTAGGCCTCGTCGGACTTTAGCTGCAGATAATGAAAATACAATCATTTACGTATTAAACATTCGTACTTATCAATGCATGTTTATCCAACTGTTTCATAACATCGTGACAGCTACTACAATTTCGATTCTAACCGATGCCTGGTAACCAAAACGAACCGACATTTGCTCTCACTTAGCACCTATTGGATTTTTATATGCCCCACTGTTGCTGACTATCCATCTATCTTGATCTCTTACCTATTGATTCTGATCATTACCGGCCTTCATTTAATATCTTTGACCCTTCATCTCGCTTTGACTTCTACCCACAATCTCACCCTCAAAATTTTGTTGGGATCGCGTATTTTAAGTATGATAAAATCACGTAGTGTTCTATTTGAGATAATACACATAAATAAATGGAAACATAGACCACAACTTTCATTACGTACATATGTAGTTTTTTATTCTTGTGTAGACCAAGAAAATATTCTAGAATGGCTCTATTTTTTGCTCGGATTCGCTAACTGCTTCCGAGATAAAGATGGCTAATGATTCGTTTTAGATTATCCCACAAATCTATGTCTACAGTACACGACATTATTAGTGCAAAGCATCGTCGAATGGAATTTTTATGGAACTCAAAACAATTGAAGGAGATGGTAATGAGTATTTACACACCTGATGCTCAACTGTTTTATTTTGGTGACTTACACATTAAAGGTCACGACGAAATACTACATGATTTTGAAACAAATTATGAACCAAATTTACAATTGACTTTGATTGAAATACTAAACGTTTCGGATGATTACATAATGGTTCTATCTGCATATAAAACAAGTGCAGAAGGCCATTATCAATCAATATGGAAAAAGACAGGCGAAGATTGGAAGATGGTTCGTGAATTTTGCAATGATATTCTAAATTGAACGCTTGCTCCGAGCATCTACAAACCTTTTGAACTGGAATTCTTAAGATTTGTTGCTTCCGATATCATGAGATAATAAAAATTAATTATTTAAGGTCGATTAAAAACTCGCAGAATGATATTTAAATTCGTACGGAATACGTAACATTATAGGATTTATTGAATGGATATTCAAAAATACTAATCCTCAATTCTAAGTCTTTCAAATGAAATTCATAGAACGGTAGATATCAGAATATTCCCGATCCAGAATTCGAGCATGTTATCGCTTCTGAGGTTTTGAATACATGCTAGAACGTTCTTTTTAGAATGTCTTCCGACAAAATGTCCTCCAGTTTTGTCCTCAGACAAAAATGTCCTTTGTATTTGGTCCTTTCAAAAAATCTTCAGAAAAAATATTTTCGAGATAAATGTCTTCCATTCTGAATTTGAAGTGATGAACCGGATTGTGCCGACATACAAACCACACTATAATTTGAAACGATCTTACGACTAATTAGGATTTGCATAGTGATCATGGTTGCAAATACGAGGTACTTCATACCCTCAGCCTCAGCCTGAGCTTCACCCTCACTTTCCAAAAAAGTTAGTTTATTCCGATAATTAAAAATATTTAATTATTTTTTTAGCGACGTGATAAGTTCTAACTAAAAGTCAAATATATTGCTTTCCTCAACAGCTATAGATTAGTAAGACCGACGTTAGAATACCCTGAAAATTTCAGCTCAAAAGAATGTTCCTGTCTCGAGATATTAAGATCTCCAAAAATGCGGTTTTTACGCCCTACATGTAGTTAAGCCATTTTCATGAAGTTTCAGATCTCGATATAGGAACATTCTTTTGAGCTGAAATTTTCAGGGTATTCTAACGTCGGTCTAACTAATCTATAGCTGTCGAGGAAAGCAATATATTTGACTTTTAATTAGAACTTATCACGTCGCTAAATTTTCGATTTTCATGTGTTCCGTATGTTTGACCCATTTTTTTAATAGTTTCTTTGGGAAATAAAAATTCTATCTCGACTAGTATATCTAGAATTTGATGGTGCATCTTATGGTAGCGTTACTTTTGCTATAAAAAAAACAATGGTTTCAAGATCGTGAGCAAGGTTTTTTCGAAATACTGCTAGATATGTGAAATTCGACTTCTTAGGACAACTGCTATATCTAGATAGCTACATATCCGATCTTCTTGAAAATTTTACTGTAAGTACAGCTTAACATACTTTATCTAATGGTGAAACAATCAGGTCTAAATATTTCATTCATACATTTCGCCAGAAGTATAATGATCATGGACTCGATAAGGAGGCTTTTCTTGTAGAGGCTGTATCTCAGACAAAATAAGAGTGTGAGGCTTGAAAAGTTTAGCATATGTACAGCTTGACCTAAGCTATAAAATGGCCGAAAACATTGGCATCCGAGGGGGGGGAGTATATTCGCCCCTTAAAAAAATTTGTCAGATTTACTCGCGTGTAGTATATGCGATTAAAAGGTTCTAGCGTGTCTGGGCGTTTTATTTTTACATGTTTAACGATAATCATCGGGAACCCCGACTCGTGCGTGCGCACGGTCGAGAAGTATTTCTCGTTTACACGCGTTTTCTGAGAATCTTGACTGTTTGGGTTGATATCAAAAGAGCTGATGGAATATTCAAACTTATTATCGGAAGGAATATCCATTGATTTCCGATGGTTTCAAGTGATTTCGGAGCTGGAAATCAGTTTATTCCCCCTTGTTTCTTCGTTAACCGCCGATTCGAAACTGATTACCAAGCTGTTTAAACCGTGCCATTTACATCGATTTTCCGACAGATTTTTCATAGAAAATTTGATTTTCATAGCTTTTTTTACATGGATTATGATCTTTGCTAAAATCAACAATGAATAATTATAAGACGCCGATCTGGTTAGTTCCATTCGACTAGAGCAAAAGTTTTAAATGCTGTACATATTAATCTGTAAGTGGAAGCCATTTGCGGCATTGAGTGGAGATATGGATTCTATCATTATTCAAAACTATATTTAACGCATGTAGAAAAATTGACAGAAAATGTATTCAGAATCGGTTAAAATCATACACCTTTAATTGGCTTTTAACGTTTTCAGTCAAATTCAATCGGATATAAGTAGAAAAAGAACTTTTCCCAATTACTACCACGGACTTCGATTACTGTCGATGAAAAGTTTGTAAAAGATCTGTTCTAATGGATTTTTTTACAAAAGAAACGAAAAGCCGTAATCTAGTCTTTGCCGATTATAGTCAAAATTCGTCGAAATAATTGGAAAAGGTTGTTTTCTGTCATATCCGATTAAAATTGGCTGAAAACGTTAAAAATCGATTTTAGGTGTACAATTTACACCGGTCCTTAATCAGTTTTGAATCGATTTTATTTTGATATTTTCTCATAATGCTTTACACGAGCAACTCCACAGACCACAAGTTATTTTCCAATCATCACCTATTTTTTTCCAAGTAAGGTGACAAAAACCGACTCGGTCACCCAATGTGAACGCTATTGTTTCCACAAAACAATCGTCAGAAATCGATAACAATTCAATTGTAGAAGATTTATACGTCGTACTGTAATGAGTTTCCAGTGCATTGAGTATTTGATGATGGCCTTTACGAAGAATACCATATTCTGAGAGATAAGCATCGGAAGCACACATCGTCGTTACGATATCTTCTAATTTTTTTGAGTTCCACAGCAATATCATCCGACGATGTTTTTCTTTGATAATATCGATCGGAGAGGCCATAGCTATGCAATTATATCTAAAAGAACACGAATATGTATGCTCGCATATGCACAAAACATCTATACATTGTATCTTTTGGAGTGTCAGAGAAACCAAACATCAGACTAAATCTGTCTTGCCGCTGCTGCTAAAGGTCAAGGCAAGAGCAGCGCATTTAGGATAGTGGTTAGAAAAGCCTATTCCGATTTTCGATGAAATTCGAAAACTTTCAAATTTTCAAGACTTTTTGAAAGTCTCCTCGATGTTTGCGACACCATTATCGCTTCACTCGTTGAAAAATCACGAACTATCTTTCGAAATACATTCTTCAGAGGCGAACTACTTAGGAATCTTTTTCATTAGCTGGTACTTGTACGACCTCCATTCAAAATGCTGGAGTATACAATAAACTGAATTAATCATATGTACTATGACCAACGTAGCTCTATTCAGCTTCTTGATCACCTTTTTGATCTAATGGCCCTATTATCGATTGTGCCAACGTGTACATGATTTGCCAGTTTGCCTATATATGTCTCCAATTGAGATGGGCGAAAAAGTAGAAAACACGGCGCAATGAATAAAATGTATTGAAGCTTGTTCGTTTGCACTGCCCAAATATATATGGGCAAAATCATTTTAATAGCGACGTGACATCGCACACTTTCGATATGAATATCTCTGCAAAGCGAAGACTCCAAAAGCTGATTTTTGCATATCGCATATAGGCTAAGTTGTGCTGCATATAGTAGAAAAATTAGTATAACGAAACCTTTCTATATGAAGTTATTGCTAAAATAAATGCGAAAACTTCGGACTTTATCCGAAAGTTATGTGTACTTCAAAAAGTGTATCAGATGGCACACAAAAATCTCAGAATTTTTTTCTAAGTTAGTACTATTACAGTCGATTGGGCTCATCTTCGAACTCGTCTGCGACATTGACAATATACTGCTATGTACTAAATTTCATGACAATTCGATCATTCTTTCAGCAGTTATCGGATTAACGGTCAGACGGACCTATTGTATAGTATACTCACTTTTCGAGTACACAAAAACCAGCATGTAAATTTTGACAACCTTCTTTGGCATAGAATCACTTGGATGATAATTCACCGACGCCAACCTTATCCATCTCCTTGCGGGCTCCCTAACAATCCATCTACCCTTCCATATGCCCACAAAAGTAGTACGGAGGGTTTGGCGTACAGTCTTGACACGAAATCGCGTGGGTGAAATTTCACTCAGACTCCACCCATGTCGCCAACACCTATCATCCTCACTAGTATGCGAACAGTCGTTTGATGCTTTCTACACATATGGAAACAGCATGCGAAGTTTCGCGGCATTTTCAGTTATGGAACCACTTGGGTAAGATTGCACCCACACCATCCTCACCCACCCACACCCTCACCCTCACCCGAAAAAACGAGTTGATGCTCGTCCATTCGTTCATTTTTCTTCCAATATTACCTAATACTAGTTGATAGTAGTAAGGATCGAGCGAAAGGTAAACGGGCTCGAGGATCACGAATCTGTGGTCAGTTTGTCAAAATGTCAATTAGCTAATTGACTAATTAAGTAATGAAATTTTTTTCTGTTGTCGGGTGAGAGTTGGCTTAACGGTAATCGAGGGTAGTTTTTTTTCTTACTCACCGAGCTTCGGCTTGTACTTTTCTTTTTCCACAAAAGATATTTTTGTCTCTTTCCTAAATCTTCTGTAGAAGGTCGTGGACTGAACGCTGTTGCTTGATGTGATGTGTGCACAGATCATAGTGTAGCAGTTTGCATAGTGGCGTACACAAGGGTGGGCTAGGTTGAGCGGCGCCCAACTGCCGAGGCTATTTACCCAAATACTGGTCATTTCTTAAAAGAATGACTTTTGTGGCGACAAATATAATAAAATATTACCAGTTTATATTCACTCCTCCCTTTTCTTAGATACAATTAAGTTGTATAGTCAACTCGAGGGAAAACGCATTGATTTCTAATAGCAGAAATCATCGGAAATCACCATAAAATGCTGACGATTTCCAGTGATTTTCAATGATTTCTGATAATTTATAGTGACGTCACAAAAATCACCAGAATTCATTAGAAATCACAAGAGCTCATTAAATCGAGAAATCAGTTGGCTCCGCCTAATCTTACTAAAGTAATACTGTATATATTTTTTCTTTTTAATAAATAGCGAGATACTATATCGAATCATTTTATACATATATGCACAATAAGAGAAAACCGGAATTTCTGGAATTTAAAAATACAAAAAATTCTCGAAGTCATATGAGTAAACTTTGGTCATTATGGACATTCTCTGGCTTTAATTTCGACTACCTAAGTGTTAGCGTCATTGGATATTACTTCATGACGCTACCTTCTACATAGATGTTCTCTTGCATTTCTATACATATACATATATATGTATTTCTTTTTCTCTTTCTTTCTTTCCTGTCGTTTTAGTTTTCGTTTGATTATCATGTCTGTTCTCATGATAACTTGTGTGATTGCATTTCTTCTCTGTTTTCTTCTTTTTACTTTTTTTCTCAGATCATTTTCGATCTGTATATATGTTGTTGTTTTCCTCTTTTCGATCAGTCTTTTTGTTATCGTTTTCTTTAGTGTTTCATTTGATTTCATCCGAAGTTTTCGTTCTATGCAGGAAAGAAGACACATACTTGTATAGATCACAAGACTGTTATTTTCCTTTTCATTCTTTTCTGTCGAAAACACATACACACACACACACATTCTACCGTCGAAGAATGAATATCGAAAAGAGTGCGTCTCGAGAGCTCAGTGGTCTAAGTGCTGGCCCGGAAAGTTAGCCTCTGGTTGTTGGGTTCGATTCCCGTTCGAGATATTTATTTTTCGGCGGTCTTGTTTTCGACAGAAAAGAATGAAAAGAAAAATAACGGCCTTGTAATCTATACAAGTATCTGATTTCATCCAATAAAACACTCTTATCATCTCATCCACACCCATTCTCTTCATCTCTCATCCCTTCCAATCACCCCAGGTAGGTTCCACGACGTGAGTCTTGATCTTACATCAGACCATTCGTTCGATTACTGGGTTCAGCTTACGATATAGTCGATAGCTGGAGGTTTCATCACATCTCCTGATACAAGAGAAGAGACTCACTCTAAGTATCCATAAAATAAGTTTGTTTTTTTATATTTCAAGCAAGCAGAGGCAGTGGATTTGAGATTTCTTTCGCATTTTTTTATCTGACCAGGTGTCGGATTTTCTGAGACTTTTGTGAATTTTTCAAATTCTTTTATTCTTCTGGGCTTTTTCAGATTTTTCACGGGTGGTAAAGAGTGTTTGTTTAGAATTTATAATCCGAAAAAATTCGAAGCAGCCCTGAAAATCAAATGAACCAAGAGAGAAATGATGAGAAAATCCCAAAAATCATGAAAAAATTCCGCAAATTGCTGTATCCACTGTGTAAGTACATGCAGCATATTTGCTCTACGAGACAGGAATATTACACGTTATAAGAGAAAAAATTGCAAAATCGTTAGGGCGGCGCCCAACCACCCGTCAAATCCTGGTAGCGCCACTAAGTTTGCACAAAAGGCGTAGTCTATCTTACGTTATGATTTTTCTAATCTAATGAATCGACAAAACTGGTATAAGCTTAAGAGAGAGTCGTGAGAGGAGACCCCTACTCCATGCATATCAGACCGCGGAAAAAAAATTAT